TAGACCATACCTTATCCCTAACATTATCATTCACATTATACTCCTCATCATCAACACACTTTAAACATCATGCTAGCATTGAGGATTTCACACATAACCTTCATAACATAACCTCATAAACATATGCATCATAATCATCAATTCACTTCACATCTATTGCCATCAAGGCCATGATCTCAACATGCATAGATAGACAAGAAGTAAACATCTCCACCATAAGTGGATCAAACCTCACAACATCAATTTTCATAGTATAGACTAAAAGTTAGGTCAACTTACCAATTCTCCAAGCCATGATCACCATGGATCAATCCTCAACAATTCATAATCAATTGACATAGATAGCAATAGGAATCAACAATGTAATTCAAAATCATAAACATACTCTAAGTACAATTCCATAAACAAAGGGATCAACCCATAACTTTCCCCACAAGGCCATAATCCTTAACTCATCAATATACCAACAATTCAACATGAATAAGTATAAATATTCATAGGAAACATCAATACAATCTAATCTAAACATAATTTCACCAATAGAGATCATATTCACAAAGACCCACATCATAGGCCAATTTTGAGAAATTGGGGATCATGGGTTCTTCAAGGATTCCTTTGAAAATTGTCTTAAAAACATTAATTCCACACTATTTCATCAATAGAATGACTTAGAAAATCGTTTGACAAGGAACCCATGTTTAGATTGAAAATTGGGAATTTTGGTCTTTGAATCACTTTTGAAAATCTTTGATAGAACTCCTTGAATGAGAGGTTATTCAAGAATCAAGAGTCACCATACCTTAATTATTGAAGACCCATGAAATTAAAGAAGAAATCAGTTGAAAACCCATCTTCTAGCTTGAGCTTCATCAAGGTCTTCAATGGAGTTTTTGAGAGAATCTATTTTGAGAAGGAAGGGTCAATTTGAAGAATAGGGTCTAATTTTAGGTTTAGGGGTTTTAACCAACTTAAAATACCCTAAAATAGGTAGAATAACCATTTATAATAATTCCCCAAAGTACCCAAACTACCCCCAACTTAATTGAACCTTTTAAACAAGTCAAACTTGAATTTTATTTTCGCAGATTCCATCGGGAACCAAGTCCGCTATGCGGAGGTGTTCCCACAAGTTTCTACAAATTAAATTTCGAGATAGTAGAGTCTGCAGTGTCTCCGAAACGTGTAGCCACTTTTTTGACGCGAAGGTGTTCCCACAAGTTTTTGGAAATTAAATTCGAGACAGTAGAGTCCACGACGCGGACCAAACTTTTGGCCGTTGGTGGAGCTAGTCCGCGACGCGGACATGCTCCCTCCAAGCACAACTTCAAGCTGCCTTGGCAGCTTGCTTGGCCAAGGTTGGGATCCTCCTCGGGGACCCTTAGGGTGGCCCCCGGGGCGTCGTATCCGAACGTTTTGACCCTAAAAACATTTATTGAGACACTAGGGTCACCTCCACTGATTTTAGACTCCAAACAACATATAAAAACATGAACAACATACTAGAACACACTAACATGTAAAAACTAGTTTCTGAACGTCTTGGTCGTCCCTTGACGTTTGACTTCCAAACTCGTTAAAACTGACTAAAAAGGCTATTCTTCATTATTTTAACAAGTTATTAATGCATAAAACTCATGTGAGGCTCTACTTTATCCTACTTTATTTTGAGGGTCGTTACAACTCTCTTGGAGGAAACCTTTGATCTTGGAATCTTGGTGCTTGATCTTGAGAAAAGAAACTCTTTTATGGAGTTCTTAGAGTGGAAGAACATGGGGAAACCTTGGATGAAAGGCTTCTCATTGTATCTTGAATTTTTTTATATGGAAGTTTTAGGGTTCTTGATGGAGAATAGGAACCCTAGGTGAGTTTTGAGAGAATATTTGGAGACTTGAATGTCTAGATTGATAATTATGAGAGGAAAACTAGTTAGTTGAATGATATACTTCTTTAAGACACTCAAAAACGACTTAAAATAAGGTTGAAAAGCTTGGAAAAGTACCAAAATAAACCCGAAACACATGCAAAAAGTTTCTAAAAATAATTGTAACAAGCCTTAACAGAAGGCTCCACGGTCTGTAGAACACTCCATCGTCCGTAATGCCGAATGTGAAAAGCATGACATGGCTTCACTAAAACGGGCATAACTTTTTTCTCCAAACCTCAATTAATGCAAACTTGGTGGCATATGAATGAAGACTCATAAAACTTTAATATGATAGGTTATGGGCTACCTAACACTTCATATTCTAATAGATATGATCGTTTGAAGTTGATCAAAGTAATATCTTATATTGAAACTCAATCGGTAATGAAGCTTTCAACTCAACTTTGTGCTAGAGGATTCTTATGACCATAATTCATCTCCAAATCTATTCTACACTAAAGAATTGACCTTAAACCTATGTACAGTAAGAATCACCCGATACGACCTTAGACACATATGAAGAATGGTTCGGCTCTTGTATTAGAAATATTCAGGGTCTTACATAGAGACACAGTTGTATAAAACAGATTTTAGAACATAAAATTAATAAATAGTATAGAAGATAACAATCTAGTCTATGTTAAGCAAAGAGAAGCGAAGCAGGAATTCTGTTAGCAAATAATTCTAGATCTTGGTCAAAAAAGAGATTAGGAAGTGCTTGAGAGCAAAGAATTCTGATGGAGTGTTAGTTAAACGGGTCGGATCATAAATGGTCTGAAATGGATAGAAGGAATTTGGAAAATAAAATGTACCAATTTAGCAAACAAAGCAAAACAACTATTCCTATACTAAAAAGATTTGATATTTAAAATTGGGGATGAATAATTTGATTTTAAGCTTGTCACGTGGTCATCCATCAAAATTACAAAAAGATTTATATCAAAATATAATAAAAGGGACATATTTAGACTGAAAATATAACCAAAAATATATATTTAAACTAAAAATATAATGAAGGTATATAAACTTTATTTTTTTTGAATAATATAGAAGTATATATATTTCATCCTTGTCCTTGAAAAAAATTGGATATATATAAGTTAAATAGGAGGATGGAAGATGGAATATTTTAGTGTTTTAGTGGGGAGGAAAAGAAAAGAAAACGAGGATAATAGCGCAGAAAATGAAAATGAGATGGCATCAGAGGTGTGAAAGTTGAAATGTAAAAAGAGTTGTATTCCCAGTAAGGAAAGAAATGGAAGTTTAGCGATCCGACATTGACAAAACCCTATTTGCTGCAGAATTCCCATGATCTCACCTGATTTGGGAAGGTAAACGATAGAATAATGATAAATAGTACCGTTGATGACAACGGCCACGCCCAAATTCCTGATCAGCAGCAACATCACTGCCACTGTTGCCAATTTCATAGTCAAAATCAGCACAAGCCCGTACCCGTACCCAAGTGCCTACCAAAGCGCATAATTTTGGTTCGTCACGGCGAGAGCGAAGGTAATAAAGACGACGCTATGTACACCGTCACCCCCGATTATAGGATCCTTCTAACTCCCAAGGGAATTGATCAAGCCAAGGATGCTGGCTCTCGCATTTTTGACATCGTTTCTGATAATGGCTCTGAGGATAACTGGAAGGTCTACTTCTACGTTTCCCCATACGTGAGAGCACGTTCCACCCTACGGGAGATAGGCAGGGCTTTTTCCAGACGGAGAGTTCTTGGCATCAGGGAAGAATGCCGAATTAGAGAACAAGATTTTGGTAATTTTCAAGTGGCCGACCGCATGAAAGTCATCAAAGAGACTCGCGAGAGATTTGGCCGCTTCTTTTATCGATTTCCTGAGGGAGAATCAGCAGCTGATGTTTATGACAGAGTTTCCAGTAAGATCATTTTCTCTCTACCTACTTCATTCTTCTCTCCACCAATATATCACTATTAACTTACGATTTACCTTATATTACGAGATAGCGATGCCCCGATAGACCCCGACTAAAATAATGCCTGCCAAGCATTCTGAATAAAAGGGATACAGATATGGTAGCAATAACAACAACAAACAAATCAATGCGAAATGGGGAGTGTTACTCAACAAACAGGGGATAGAACACTAACAAAAGCAAGATAATGTGATAAAATCAGACTACAAAAAACACTAGTAAAAGTCAAAATCGAAAAACACAAAACTACATGAAAATTCTAATACTACTGATAAGAAGAAAGGTCACCAAGCCTATTTAGCAGAGAAACGATAGAACCCTCAACTACAACTAACATTCTATCCTAATTCGTGACCTCAAAACTCTCCTATCTATGGTCATGTCCTCGGTAAAATCAAGTTGTATCATGTCATATCTAATCACTTTCCCTCAATACTTTCTCGGCCTACCTCTACCACTCCTGACGTCCGACAATGCCAACCGCTCACACCTCCTCTCTAGGCATCTACACTTATTCTCTTTACACTTTACATGTCCAAATCATCTCAATTTCGCTTCCCTCATGTGGTCCAGCATGGAGGCCCTCCTACCTGTCCATGATATCTTTTTTCCTAATCTTGTCTCTCATATTATGTCCACACATCCACCCCAATATTCTCATCTCTGTGACTTTCATCTTGTGAACATGAGATTTCTTAACTGGTCAACACTTCCGCCCCATACAACATGGTTGGTCTAACCACCACTCTGTTCAGAAGATGAAGTCGGTCTAACTTATATACACTCATTGTAAAAAGTACTTTTACCTAATCTCTGTATTTTTTTCATGGCAAGTTATTTACCAAATTAGATTAAGTATAGAGAGGTTGTCAAACAAAAGGATTTACTGTAGAGAGTTACAAATATTTAGTTGTGCTTGCATGGATAACTTGCTACATATTCAAACAAGACCCTTAAAATAGATAAAAACAATGAAGTAACTAACAATACGAGACCAGGTATTAGTGGAATCATCTTTAACTAATGCCAATGTCAGGGCACAAAACAAAATATAACCCCAATTGTTTATTGTAGTTGTATGATGTCATGTTCATCGTTACGAAAAAATTGTATTTTGGTTTCTAATACACATTAGATCAAGTTTGGCTTAAGATTTATCGTCACTATGCTTCATTGAGATTCAACTCAGATAGAGAAATTTAAATTTGGAGCGACTCTATTTAAGAATTACTGCATATCATGTGGAACTTTCTTTGCGATAGTCTAAGACAGTAAGTAGATCGATCTGTTCGGGTGCAATTCTTTTTGTTTTGAATCCAATCTGTACCTAGCCAGCAAATTCAGAAGTAGTGAGTGGGAGGAAATGCTAGTTTTGTTGGACATGAAAAGTAACCACAACAGCTCATGCATTAAGGAATCTAAGATGTTTTGAAGGAAAAAGCAACACAATCTAGAAGATAAAGCTAAGTTGTATTTTGCTTTTTCATTTTTGGTAAAAAATAAGAGTATATAGAAGACATTAAGTCTCTATTGCAAGTTTTAGAGTCGCTATAGAGAAGTAGATTTTTCTCATACTCTCTATAATTGTGGCTTTCATAGCTATGATCTAATACAAGTTGTTGCCATTTCAAACAAATTAAATAAACAAATTGATGTAATTAAGCAAATTGGACTGCGTTAGCATGTGTTTGGCATGCTAGGGAGGGTTAAGATAGAATTGAGATTTCTTGCCGAACTATTAGTTTAAGTCATTAAGCATGTAAATTACTTCAAGTACATAAGTAGGTGGGTGGTATGTTTCTAACATGCACGAGTAATGATAATGTCAAATTCTTGGATCACTTATTTTTGACATGTCTACGTTAGTCGAAAATGTTGCCAGCCTTTTTTCAGCTAACCACCTCCTAATTGCTTAACATGTTTCTCAGTTTTGGTCAACTTCCTGACAATATCTTGACAAGTTCAAATAGGAAGATTCAGTATCGACTATCTTACTCAACTAATGGACCTATTGGGTAATGTTCTATTATACATTCTAGAACATTAGATAATGGAAAAAACTGAAGTGTAGATGCCATGTTTGAATATTCATGATAATGGGAACATGATCACAATTCTATCCATTTTCATGATCACAAGTTTTCTGATGCTAAAGTAATACATCACTTATAGCTGACACCACTTATGTAGCATGAAAGGAGCAGATGGCTTATGGAGACAAATTAATCTGTACAGCCCTTCCCCTTCCCCTGCGTAAACGCGGATGCTTTGTGCACCAGGTGGCCCCTTGCCCTCCCCCCCTAATAATTCCATTAAGTTTAGACCTAAAACATCATCATGTACGGCATTCACAATTATCATTAGAGTTAATGGTTGCTAGCATATCTATTTACGGCCAAAATAACCTTGTCCTTGTCTTACAGTTGTGTATATATTTTATCTCAAACTTTTTCTTGTGATTGAAAGCACACCCATTCCTTAAAAATTGCCTCCATTAGATGGCTAATGTCATCCAAGATACTAGATATTGTTAACCAGGAGTGCTGTTGTTCATGAGATGTGTCCTGCCTTCCTGAGATGTAAAACTCAATCTATAATCTGGCCCTTCCTGCCTATGACCAGGATGCATACTCAGAATTCATGCTCATTCTAAATTAAGATTTCGATAGCAGCATGGCTTACGTCTTTTATATGCCTTTGTAAACATTAGTCTTCACTTATAAGAAAATTAGACTTCATGCTAAATAATATTTTTTTGTGATTCCATTATGGTATAAAGTTGTTTTAGACTTGCTTTTGCAGAATAAAACTCTGCCTTTTGTGAAGCATATTGTGTCATACATGAGAAACTAGAAGTCTCAAGAATAGTGGTAATGTCAATAACTTACAAAATGGTACTAAATTGGTATCATGTGTTTAATGGTGCTGAAGAATATATGAGTGTTCATGGTGTATGGAATAACATAACGTCATTATGTCATGTTACACATTTATATCATACACGCTACCATAAGTTGTATGTACCTAGAAAGATTCCTTCTACTCTGGTGATAAATACGTGACCTCTCAGTTATTACCAGAAACAAAGTGCAACATCTTGTTGAATACACTTTAAGGACTTGCTCCAACGCACTTCCATTTCAAGATAAAGAATTTGCTTATTGGTGTTAGATATAAGAGCATATTTCAAATTGAGTGCAATTTTGCAGTGTAAAGTGTATGGACTTTTGGTTGTATGTTTCTCAATTGTGTTTGTTGAAAACTTTTTTGATGCAGGTTTTCTTGAATCTCTTTGGAGGGACATTGATATGAACAGGCTCCATCATGACCCTAATGACGATTTGAATCTTGTGATTATATCTCATGGTCTAGCTAGTCGTGTCTTTCTGATGAAATGGTTCAAGTGGACAGTTGAGCAATTTGAGTATCTAAGCAATTTAGGAAATTGTGGATTTCGAGTTATACAATTAGGGCTTTGTGGTGAATATAGCTTAGCAGTCCACCATACTGAAGAAGAGATGCTGGAATGGGGACTATCCCCTGAAATGATTTCAGACCAAAAATGGCGAGCGCATGCTAGTAGGAGTTCATAGAAGGACAAATGCTCTTGGTACCTTGATGCTTTCTTTGACCATTTAGATAATTCAGATGAGGATGATTATGATGAAGTGAAATCAGACTTTTCTGACTAGTTTACTGATGTTTTTGGTGCATTACTTGCATTGTGTAGTTTGATGAGTAATGAATTTGGTTATTGACGGTGGTAGTTATAGATCCATTCAGACTTTCATGTGGTACTCCACTTTTGGGGGCTCAAAGCATTTGATTTTGTTGCATTCAATACCAAAAATATGGTGGCTCACGAGTAAGACCACTAAAACATATGTTTAGGCTTCCTAGAGTCGAAAACTCTTAAAACTTTGTTATTATTATATAATTATTCATTAATATGTTTATAGATTTGTATACGAAAAGTCAGTATCGTATGTCTTATTGTACAACTTGAGAAATGTTTTTTCAATATAATAAAATGTTAGTCATTTGTTACAATACAATTTACATTGATTCTTGTTGTCAAACATCTTATTGATAAAGATTTAAGTGGTTTAATTGAAAGTTCTAAGATATTTACACTGTTATTTAATTAAAAATTAACAAAATGATTTTTTAATTTTTTTTATTTCTAATGTCATTCATTATATAAGGAACGAATGAACTTTATTGAACTTAATTAACCCAACTTGTTATAGACTCTGTTTTTTTTTTGTTTGGGACTTTTACCATCCTTATAGATGGTCCTTAAAACGTTTTGGAAAACAGTTTTGAAAGATTTTCAAAAGAAGGAGGCACAAAGCACAAATAGAGGCCAAGTTCTCTAGGATTTACTTCTTTATCTATGTAGTTAGTTTATTTCTTGTTCGTACATTGAATTCTAACTTGTGTAATAAGATTGTGAGAAAATAAAAGTTCTATTTCTAGAGTTACAACTATAGTATGAAAATCATATTCTAGTTATCAATTGTTATTGCGGATTCCATCATATATGTTTTGTTCTCTTAATCTTATACCTGACTGTTAATTTGTTGCGCAGTCACTAATAGGATAAACGGATAATTTGTGGTAGAACTTTGACACAAAAAAACTGGTAATAGAATGTAGGTTAAGGGAAGTAGGGGTTCATTTGCGGATGGATTAGCAGCTACGACAGAAGTGTGGCTAGTTTGACCTGCTCGGATCAAGTACAAGAAGATATATAAATGCATTCAAAGCGATTTACTAAATCCCTACTCAACGATGTAGATGTGAGGCAAATCAAGGTAGGTGATTATACAACTCGAAATACCATGACAATTTTATCAATATTGTGATTCATAATTTGGTAGATATTATAAAACATGCTTAACAATGAAAATTATATATGATGGAATTACGCAAATGCCATAAACCTAGGTTTTATCTTCTAAATTTGGATCATGATGATACCTACTATAATTGTCTAGTAGGCAAGCTAAAACTCAAGACAAAAAAAGGAACAACACTAAACATACAATAAGAAAGACTAGATAACTAAGCGCAAGCAACAATAAGTTGAAAATGGGCCCGCATAATATATATTTACAAAATCATACATAAAATAGGGAGGTCAGTTATATGCAGTCCCTTAAAGTTGTCTACACATTTCATTTAGACACCTTAATCTAGCCTTGTATCTATTGAACACTTAAATCTTAACATATTTATACTTATTTAACACAAAATGATAATCAATAAAAAAAAAAATAATGCGTGCATCTCAATCGCATATACATAGCAAATGGACTAATGAGATAACGACACGTGGCAATTGGAATTTTTTTTAAAAAAAAACTATTTAAATAATACAAAAGAATTTTTAAGAAAATATAATTTTATATTTGAATTAACCCACCCCCACCCCGTTCTTCTTCTTCTTTTCCCCTTTCCACTGGGTCGCCTGTGTGCCTCAACCCGTCAACCATCAGTAAACCATTGCCTATGGTCTTCTTCGTCGCACCTTGTTTCTCTTTCCATTGGGCCATTGCGCCTCAAACGCCGATAAACCATAACATCCACCCGTTTCTTTTTCTCCATCGAATCCTACCCCTAAAACCGACATCGATAATACATCATTGTTGTCCATCTAAGTTGACCCCTCATTTATCTTTCGTTCTAATAGCATCAAAACGTTCCATCAATTCTCTTCATCTTCTTTTCATTAGTGAAACATTTATCACAATAATAAGAAAATATAGACGTTTTTCGAAAAAAATAATCAATTGCTTCGCTGGAAAACTATTTACATCTTAAACAATGGAGTTTTGCCGGAATATTATTTTCAGCAAAAATAATGAAGCTTCGCCGGAATATTATTTTCATCGGAAACAATAGAGCTTCACCAAAATATTTGAGACTTTAATCTGATCTACATAAAATAAAATAAAAAAAACAAAAAAGCAGTAGACAAATTAAAGAGGGTGAGGGAGAAGTGGATGGGGTGGGGTGTGTAAAGAGACATGGAATAGTTGCAGAGGAAGATGAGAAACACGTTCCTTCCTTCTTTTTTTTATATTAATTATTATTATTTATTAATTTAGCTATATAAGTTGGAAACAAAAATAAAAAAGATATTATTTCTAATTGTTTTCACGCGTTTTAGGAAAGTGAACTACACTTTTTTTGCCATGTCAGCATTTTGTGTCTAATAGGTATCACTTTTGAACATATAAAGTGTTCAATAGGTACATAGCTAAATTGAGGTGTCTAAGTGAAATATGCGAACAACTTTAAGGGCCACATATGACTTAAGCCTAAAATAGGGAAAATGGTCAAAATGCCCTTAAACTATGTGAAATGAACAAAAATGTCCTTCATTTATAGTTTGACTCAAAAATGCCCTTGTCGTCAAAAGGAGGTTCCAACCCGATACAGATCTCCTTTTCCCAAAAACATGGGATTTTGCCGAAATTAAAGAAAAACTATCACTCGTCAAAGCTGATTGGATGGACAAGCTGCCCGGGCCAAACATTCCGCTTCGAAAGCTTTATTACTGATTCGGACGTGCAAGAGCCTATGAAAAGTTCAAAGAAGAGTTTGTCTCAGAAGAGAAATGGAAGGAGACACGTCCTCTTGCCTTTGCGATATGCCTACTTGGGATGATGGTATTTCCCCAGGGATTAAACTACACTATCCATCCGAGTGTAGTAATGGCCACTCATGCTATCTTTTATGGAGTGGGCTATGAGTCAGCAACTAAGTACTACACTTTGGCACGCATGATTTTGGCCGACATTTATAGGGCTTTGGACAAGTGTCAAAGCGGAGAGCGTTTCTTTCAGGAATGCAACCTGATACTTCAGTGGTGGATGATAAGGCACTTGATCAAAGCACATAATCCAGAAGAACCAGATCCGTTGAGACGATCAGACCAACTTGCAGGTCACAATTGGTGGATGTACCAAAATCATTGCAATAAAATTGGAGGTCTAAAATTCTGGTATCCAAGACTTCAAGGGCTAAGAGAAGAAAATGTGCAGTGGTCAATAGAATGTCTAGTGGTGACAAAGAAAATGGTGATTCGAGCGCAAAGGGTCCCTTACTTGATATTTTCCGGATTAAGAGGGACTAGACCATATGCTCCCGGTGAGTCCTTAGACAACTGGGAGGGAAACAGGAAATTCCCAAATCGCGGACATGAAGAAATTTGCGACTGATCATGAAAATGGATGAGTCTCTTATGCTGAAGACATATGTAGAACATGGAAGACTCGAAGGGTATTGGGTGAGCCGGTACCAAACAGATTCCGTCCTGAATGTTCTAAGGATTACAAGGAATGGTTGAAGAAGAGCCTCGCTAGAAATATCTAGCCTGGTCCAAATGTTCCCCATATTATTGCAGATGTTGGGGCCAAGCATCATTTTCGACTTCATTGACTCCAAGAGAAGTATGACAAGAATGAGTTGGACCATCAACACCAACATTCAGAGGACGCCAAAGTCATAGCTTAGTTGAAACAAGATCTACGAAGAGCTAGGCAATGCATGTCAGAACTAGATGATAGCATGGAGCAGCAGATTCAGTCGGTTAGAGGTTCAGACATCAAGAAAGGTCTCGGTTGGATAGGGATCACCTCTGGGCGAACAAATATGCTATGTGGGAAGAGGTCAGCATCGCCAAGAGGACCAGACTTGGTGAAAGTTCAGGATGAGCTTAAAGTTTGTTATCATCCCCTGCGTGGGATTGCTTTATTTGTACTTTGTTTTGTAATTTACTTTCCGAACTCATTTCCCAAATTTTATGTGTGTCAAACATTTTTGAATGCTATTAATGAAATATTTTAGGGATAATGAATTGGCTTAAAAAGACATATACATCCTTCAATTCGCTAGGCCTACCTTTGGCACAAAAGGGTTACATGCATGTTTAGGACGCGATATTTGTCTGTTTACTTGTGTGCTTTAACTGTTTATGTGGTACGTTGCTTTGAATGAGGACATTTTTAGCCCACTCCTTGTCAAAAATTTTCTGAAAAATAAAATCTCTACAATGCCGAATACAAGTCACTACGAAAATGTCCGACCAAAATTCCTGAGTTTTGAGTTTCTCAGCCAAAATAAAATCTCACTACCAAATCCTAAAACACTACTCTATCATCTCAGGAAAGGTGAAATTGCTGCTAAGATGGAAAAAGGCAAGAATGTCGAGGTGGAGACGACTGAGGAGAATTTAAGGATGAAACTGCATCGATTCAAACAAGAGATTCGAGAGATGGGAGAAAGAAGAATACAAGTGGAACTAGCCACCGCAGCTGCGTAAGCTAAAAGTGCAGCACTAGACGCGGAGTTATCGGCTAAGATGGCAAGATATGCTATCATGAACGAGGAGACGGTTGCTATGCGGAAGAAACATGATGTCTTCAATAATGATATAACCATGAGGCTTTAGAAGATACACGGAAGATGCTCTTTCTTCAATCAAGAAGCTAATAGCGGTCCCAAGGACACTCACCCTGGAGCTACTGAAGAAGATACGATGAGGAAATCATCTACATGCCTCCCTTCCTGGGACGTCTGAAAG